TTGAAGTGAAATTCTATCTATATTGTGGCCGTGGTAGGAAAAGGGGAGATCTCCCGCCGGGCAAGGTGTTCTGCCCGGGGAGCGGCCGACACTCCGAGTGATAGTTCGGAGAAGTTCTATAATACTATCTATGATTCGGAATGTTGATAGCGTGATTTAGACTTCGGTGTATTTCGATTGTGGCGCGACGACAGCGCCGCTACATCACCCCCCTGCTCAGACCGGAGGTCGTTAGTGCAGCCTTGTTGCCGACGAATGTGCAAGTGCCAGTGGATTGCCTTGTAGTCTGCGGTGAGTCGAGAAGAAGGCAAGTAATCTGCGAGAGTGCCGTGCCGAACACTGTATAGCGCAGAGAATAGCTTGAAGGAACAGGAAGCATTATTAGTCCAGTGCTGCGATGAACCTTGTGAAGCTAGATGGCTTGCAGGATATGAAGACTGCAGACGATATCTGCTCGGGAGCGAATGTTTGGGGTATTCTATGATGATGATGAAGCTTGAAGTTTCCGAAGGTTGTTTGGTTGCGTGTTCAGATCACGTTGGATGGTCACCACTGTGGCCGTGGAAGGAAAGGGGAGAACTCCCGCCGGGCAAGGTGTTCTGCCCGGGGAGCGGCCGACACTCCGAGTGATACTTCGGAGAAGTTCTATAATACTGTCTATGATTCGGAATGTTGATAGCGTGATTTAGGCTTCGGTGTATTTCGCTTGTGGCGCGACGACAGCGCCGCTACAATATCTTAACTATACATCTGAGCTCCCGTTTGAATAAATGTAATATTTGTTGAAGGACAATGTATGTATATTATAACCTATAACTCATCACTGCTCAGTTTGTTACTAGATTTTGTAAATTTCTGAATTCTCAATATTTATTGCAATATTCTGTAGTTAATAATCTAAAAGTAACTTATTATTAAGTCTATTTTTATAACTCACACCTAAGTAAAAGGCACAGAAGCCCAGTAAGGAATTTCATTACACTTACTACAATTTGGTACGATAAAGAATTAATTATTTTATTATTTTATAATTTATAGTATTTGACATAGGAGAGTTCACTATAATTCTTAGTATGAATTTTAGAGTGAATCTTGGAGTGCCATATTTTACAAAATACTTCATTAATAGTAACCAATGATGTGTATGAGATGTCTATGAGATGACTGTAACATGACACAGTAGTATGATTACCTTTATATAGGCAGTGTTAATAATAATTTGTTATTTTATTCAAAATAAATAATTCATTATTTCACATTTACTGCTCATGTGAAAAAAAACTACTTTATAGTTTATAGTGACAGCGCTTTAATGTTAATTCAAAACCTGTCTAACCTCAAAGTGTTAGCTCTAAAAGGTCTGAATAGTTAACCATGTCTATCCTCTATGTGATAGCTGTAACGGTTTAAAGCTTACAGCTATCACATAGAAGTTTTTCCGAGTCATAGTCCATCTTAATGTCTTCCTTCAAGTGGTAATGCTTTCAATTCAAATCTGTTTAACCTCAAAGTGTTAGCTCTAAGATTTGAATAGTCAACTGTGTCTATCCTCTATGTGATAGCTCTAACAGTTTAAAGCCTGCAGTGATTTCTTCCGAGCCGTAGTCCATCTTAATGTCTTCCTTCAAGTGATATTGCTTTCAATTCAAACCTGTCTAACCTCAAAGTGTTAGCTCTATGGTTTGAATAGTCAACCGTGTCTATCCTCTATGTAATAGCTTAACGGTTTAAAGCCTGCAGTGATGTCTTCTGAGTCCTAGCCCATCTTAATATCTTTTCACTAATGATAGCATCTTATATGTGAATTAAGACCTGTCGACCTTCTAAGTCATAGCGGTAAGGTCTGAATAGTTAACCATGCCTCATACATGACAGCTCTAATGCATAGCATTTTAATAACTTATGCTAGATATTCTCTCAACAATTTTAAGTTTACAGTAATTACTTCTGCCTCTTTGCACCGCTTAATATCTACCAGTAATATTTTTCGTTCTTATTTTATTATATATACATAAATCCATGTATATATTCTAAGTGACAGTTCTAACTCCTGTTAGATATATTTCCCAGCAGTTTTAATTCAATAATGCTTTTGCATCCCTATCTCCTCAGTATTATACTTTTCCTATTTCTTCAATACTGTCCGAAACTACGTGCATCTCAAAAGTGGGAATAGTCTTGCCCAACTTTTAAATCATTGGTGTATTGGTATATTTTGCTACCTTGATGTCCGGTGATCATGTGGGGGTTCTCTTACTTTGACAATTTTTGGACTTCTTTTGCAAAACCCTTGTGAGACTTTCTAGTACTTTTAAATCTATAATTTGTAACAAGTTTTTCATTATGTTATACTAATAATATTGAGCCTTTTGTAATAAAAACTATACCATTAATTATCTTTATTTGATTGCTTCTAAATCTCAGTACTGCAAAATATTTTCTCATGTGAAAAAAAAACAAAAACCTATGGTTTTTTGACTCATCGACATTAAGAGGAAATACATAAAAGAAGAATAGTCTCCCAATCTAATATAACTGTCATGGTTTCTGGGTCATGCCTACAGAACACCATTGTTAAGTATATAATAATTTTATTATTTCTCGTTACTAATTTGATCAAGTTTTAGCTTTGACACTGCTTTATGATCTTGTTGAATAGACTTGAAAAACTTCCTCTGACAGTTTTTTGTTTACTTGGCTCAATTTTAGATTGTATGTAAAATTTCCATATTTTTATTTTATTTGAAGTATTGAATCCTCAATAGTTAATGAATAGAACCCTCTCTATCTTGTTAATATAAGAAGCAGGATTTTCATCAACTCTGGGTAAAATTGTACAACATAAGTATTATTTAGTTGTAGTAAATTTACTATTCATTATAACTATATTGTTGTGCTCAAAGTTTTGTATTGTATTCTACCATTCCCAAAAATATAAGCATATACTACATTAATATAGAATAATATCTATGTAATTTACTCTCAATGAAGGACTAAAACCCAAATTTTGTCTCATTTTATTGGTTTAGCTCCATCCTGTTGAGAAGTGTCAATTTATAGTTCAAACGGATTTATGCGTTTAATGTTTTTTTTTTGTAATATTATTAACTACCATCTAAGGTCAGAAATTTGCCACTGAATATATATTACATAACATTATATATACATTATTATATATAATAAGGTTTTAAGCACAACATTATTAACCTCATTTTACTAATAGCAACCAAAATGGGTTATGCACAATATATCTAGTCACTATTTATATCAGTATTTTTACATAATTCTCTTTTACTACAACAATTTATTTTGTTGCTAACATATCTTGGCAATCAGTGTATGCATCTGTCAGCATAACTCTATTGTGCTTTTACCATACCTAGTTTTAGTTATGAAGGTTATAATAATAACATGATAGGTATGAATGATACCATACTTAATTTTACTGAATAAATCCACCTTTATTTTATTTTTTAATGATTACTTCACATATTACTTATTTTTAACTTGTCATAACTTTTTTATATCTTAAAATAGAAAATTATTTCCTGTAATTATTTTTAAATTTATTTTAATTGTTCAATTTACCACTGTTTTAATTAGTGAAGTATGTAAATTTTATATTTTCCCAGAGTGATATTTTATGTACCGCTGTAGGCCATAAATGCATTTGCAACTAATCATTCTCTTTAAAACCTAATGATGCTAAATACTTCTTTCTTTCTTGTTACTTTGGTTATATTAAATTACATAATACAGCACGAATGCAATAATGTGCCTATGTTTAATTTCAATTAATTAATCATGGTCTAGTTTTTTATTTAATTGCCTATCAGTTAATATAAATTTCTCTATATTATATTCTCGTCTTATTATATTAATTGTTATATAATAATTATTATATTATATTCGTTTTACTATCTTTGTTTACCTTCTTGACTAAGTTTTTTTAATTATATTTTGTTAATTTTTTAAAATTGACAATAATCTAAGTGAAACATTTTACAGGCTATCTGTTGTCTTTTTATTATTCTTTTAATAATTTAACAAATTTATTGTAATTCAATCTGATGCTTACAATACTATTTATGTTTTGCATATCTGTAAAATCTGGTTTCATTCGCAACGTGTGGAGCCAAATATGTCACAAGGGATATAATTTGAATAATAGGTTTGGTTCAATCTTTCAGATTTTTCGAAACAGCCTATAAATGCTTATTTTTTATTCACTTTTTGCTTACTTGTATTTTAAGTGTATTTAACTTGTAACCTTTTGATATTCCATATAAAAGTAAAACAGTTGTCCTATCACATTTTTTTTACTTTCATGTCATATTATCCATCCATCCATTGCAGTCTATAAAAGTCCACAGCTGCACATAGGCTTACAAACACCTAAATGCCTGGTGTCATATCGCACCTCCGATAAAATAGTGTTACAACTCGAAAAAGTCGAATTTTGAGTTAAATATACAGAAATACTTAAAATTTTATGAACTATCTTCTCCAAAATGGTTACATCTGTAACTCTAAAACTCGCCGCCGCAAAGATGAAGTTGTAACGGTACATGACTATAGCATTTTGACTCGAGAATGATCTCTATTAGTGTTACATTTAGTGTTATAAAATGTAAACGTGCGTTTGTTTAGACAAGAAGTGTTACATATCAAAATACAACAGTGTTTTAGATGGGTAAATATTTTTGCTTACATCAATTTGTCTAATGAACAGTTATAAGTCTAATTATTACAGTTTATTGTTCTAGAATTGAATCAAACTAGCTCAATATTTCTATTATAAAGTGATATATTTTGTATTGTATCAGTATTATGGATGTGATTTATTGTAATATTGTTTTACTTTTCACGTTGTAACAGTATTTGATGAAAAATTTATATTTTTTTGTCTGAATATTTCGATTTGTAACCTTGTTTTATAACAAAGTTTAGGTATTTTCGAAATATTTGCTGTGAATCTGATTTATGATTCTAGGGCCAAAATGAAACGTAATGACGTAATTCTGCGTTTAGCTCTGAAGGATAAAAGAAATATACCCGCCGATTATTATCAAAAGATTGGGGGAACAAACTTGCAAGGTACGATGCCTACTATACTTACCTACTTACCTTAACTACCTGTTTTTACCAGGTTATTGTTGTCATTTTAAAAGTTAGTAGCATACGTTATTTTGTATAACGAACTAACTGAAGGGCCTAACATTATGTAAACAAGTGAATTTCATCATAGGTTCGTGTGAATATTTTTTTCAGAATCAAGAGAAAAATCGGATTCTGATATTATTGACAATCTATCAGAAACCGGGAAAATTGACTTCGATATACCACAATGTAGGTTACATTTACGTTACGCAAGAGCTAATCAATATTTCATAGCTGTTCCCGAAGCTGAGAGTGAAAAAGGTTTTTTTTTATCGTGCAATCGGAGCAATGATGGCTTTAATTTTGATGTCTGAAACGATGTGCTAATTTAAAAATGTGTTTTACAGAAAATAAGACAAGAATTATTTCCAGCAAGAACACTACGGAATTTGAAACACTGTTATCTCCAAGTGAACATTTCAAAAGCTATCTCATCGAGAAAGTTAATTTCGATTTGCCAAATGATCTTCAGACTCAATGTGAAAAATATGGTAGTAGTTTATTGTGCATATAAAAGTTGCCTTTGTTTAGTAGTCATTATAATTGTTGATTCGATTTTGCATTTACAGATATAACAATAAGTAATTCTGCCACTTACAATACTGAAGTGATACCATCTACAAGTTCAATAGAAGTTAAAGACCAGAGTTACAAGCAAATCGTCTCGATTTGCTTGTAACTCTAGAAGCCTACTGATGACTCGTCAACCGATTCTTCAGATATAGAAAGTACATGTTCTTCAGACACTTCTAATTCAACTTCAAATGAGGATAGTGATGATTCGGTGAAAGATCCAGATTTTCAAATTGATTGAAGACAATGTTGGTAACCAAGCTAACTTCGAAGCTACACCTGCAGCTACATCTTCAGTATCAACATTGTACTCAAGCCTGGATGACAAGATACCAGACACGAAAAAACGAAGCGGAAAACGTATAGCTAAACCAACTGAATGATTACAAAATAAATATAAAATCTTCAGAAATGCAGGATCTGCTTACGTAACACAAAAACAAAGGTGAAGAAGGATACTACAAAAATTAAACCACCGTGTAGCGAACGCTGTCGGTTAAAGTGCAAAGAAAATTTCAGAAGTATATAGAGTATAGAGAAGCTGTTTTTAAAGAGTTCTGGGAACTTAAAGATATTAACCGCCAAAAAGATTTTATCAACAGGCATATGGCGCCAATAAAGCGAAAATATAGATACACGACTACTCAAAAAGGGAGAAAATTCAATAATGCATTTTACTTGACCAAAATAGGATGTTAAATTCAAATCTTTAAGACATTCTTCATGAATACAATAGAGTAATACAGACTGTAATCAAGAAGAGGACATCTGCTGGTTCCGTTGAAGAGGACAAAAAGAGGCAAACATCACAGTCATCACAAATTGCCTGATTGTGTTAAGGAATCTATTCGAAACCATATTCATTCAATCCCCCGCATCGAGAACCATTATTTGCGACAGCAAACTGCAAGGGAGTTTATTGAGGGTGGAAAAACAATAGCTGATCTTCACCGTAAGTACGTTGAAGAATGTAGGCTTAATAATAGACCTCACAGCAATTATGAAATGTATGCAAAAAATTTTAACACAGAGTTCAATTTAAAATATATTATTATAAAAAAAAGGATCGATGTGAGCTGTGTGTTGCTTATGAAATCGTAGAGGACAAACAACAGTGATCAACACCTTTTGGAAAAGCAATTGTCACGACAGGAAAAACGGTGCGACAAAGATAACGCTTCGGAAACAAATATAATAGCAGTTTATGATCTTCAAGCTGTTCTACCAGTTCCAAAAGGTGACGTATCTGTTTTTTACTACAAAAAGTAAATTGAACTGTTTTAAAATTACTTTTTAACCTTGCAACTAAAACAACTGAATGTTACTTCTGGCATGAAGGCATAGGTAATCGTGGTTCTGGTGAAATTGGTAGTTGTATTCTCCAGTTTATAGAAAAAAGATTGTCTCAAATTAATGATGGTTCTGCTATTGACATAACCTTTTACTCACAAAACTGCGGAGGACAAAATAAAAACAAGTTTATAATGGCTCTATACGCCTATTGCGTACTCAAATACGATAGACTTAAATCTATTACACACAAATTTTTAGTGACTGGACATACTCAAAATGAAGGCGATTCAGTGCATTCGGTAATTGAGAAATGCATTAAAAGGAGTTTAAAATCTGGCCCAATTTACGTGCCTTCTCAATATGCACAAATTATAAGAACAGCCAAAAAACTGGGCCCCATACTCGATGAATGAGCTTTCATTTAATAACTTTATATCCCTGAAGAAGTTACATGCAGAACTACGTTTCGGTACGGGTAACATTAAATTGAAAGACGTCAGGGTCGTTAAATTCATGAAAGAAACACCTTGTGTTCTTTATTACAAAAACTCTTATGAAGACGAAGGATTTTCGGAAACTAAAATTTGGCGAACACACCCTGAGGTTCTGCCTGGACTAAAACCTGCTTACATCAGACAGCTCTCAATAAGGGAGAGGAAGAAAGCTTTTTACAACCAATTGTAATTGAATAAATACCAGTAATTTTTTGATAATTATGCACCCTAGTTAAAAGATGACTGAAACTTGGATTTTATCTGTGATTTTGATTTTATAGTGATGATTACGGTTCCTACTGAGTATTTAAACATTATTTCATTAAGGAGAACGTTAAACTAAATATTATTTAAGCATAACTTTATTAAGTACTACCTGAACTTGTACTGTAAAGTGATTCGATAAAATTGTGATGCTTAGAATAGTTTATATTTTTGTTTTAGTTAAAATTTTTGAATATTTATGTTAGAGTTGATTTTGTTACTAAGTCTACAGCTATATAAATATTGTTTAGTTGAAAAAAGTGTAAATAACTGCCTGATTTTTATTATAATAAGAATTGTTACATTTGTCATACTGTATTTTTGTTAGTAAAAGTTCAAATAGTTATCTAAAATACTGTTACAATTAGGAATTTTCAGGTAATTTTTCAGGAAATTTGAAAAATAGCTTATGTCATTTAAACATATTTTTTGTAAGCTTTTCAATTATATATAATTTGTATGACTTTATACTAATACTACAAGAATAAAGACTGTATAACGAATCCGTGAGTTTATTTTCGCTTTTCTAAAGATCCAGGTCTTTCAAGTTGTAACCCTATTTTGTCGGAGGTGCGATATTATGTAGCTTTTTATTTTTTATTTTATGCGTCTACAAAATAATATGTAGTAATATACTGTCTTTAGATTTAAAAATGCATTTAAATCCCATTTGTTTGGGAATTAACAATTTTAAATTATTATAATATTTATTGCGCTGCATCAAAAATAGAAATAAAATGCAATTAAACCTTCGTAAAGACCCCAACAACGAAGTTTTGAAAATAACTTTTAAAAGGTATCGTAACTATTGCAACAATTTACTTAAAAAACTAAAACACAAATATGAACGAAAACAATTGGCTCGAAATACTAAAAACTCAAAATTGCTTTGAAATACTATAAAAAAATTACTTATTTAAAATCAAATAAAACGCACAATACTGAATTACTTAATGTTAAAGAAACCCCTACAAATTCAGTTAATCATGTCAATGATATCTTCGCTAGTGTAGGAAAAATCCTGGCTAACTCTATTCCCTTTGTCAGCCCATCTTCTAATGCTAATAGCTACCTTAACAATTCAAAGTTCATCATTTGTTCTTTTGGAAGCTGACCACCAAGAAGTTGCTTGTGTACTTATGGATCTCAAATCGGAAAGTGCTCCTGGTTGGGACAACATCTCCACAAAGTTCCTCAAGCTGTCCAGAGATCTTGTGGTGCCTATCATTTGTCACCTGACAAATCTCTGCTTCAGGGAGGGAGTTTTTCCGTCACCTCTTAAACAATCAATTGTGACGCTGGTTTTTAAGGGTGGCAAGAAAGATGATATAAATAAATATCGGCCGATTTCTGTTTTACCGTCTATATCTAAAATTATAATCTCGAAAAGTTAATTAACAATCGACTCTTAAAATTTTTAAACAAATTCAATATACTATCTGATTCACAATTTGGGTTTAGACAAGGAAAGTCTACAGATGATGCTGTCTTAGCACTAACAACTCGAATCTCAGACTGCCTTGATAGTGGGATAAAATGTATAACGGTCTTTCTCGATTCAAAAAAGGCATTTGATACAGTCTCCTTGCCCATTCTTATACAAAAATTAGAACAGTGTGACGTGAGAGGTACACCACTTAATTTGTTGAGAGACTACCTGTATTGGTCGAACCCAAAGAGTTAAAATTGATGACTGATACAAGTGAGGAGCTACCGATCTCCTTTGGCGTTCCACAAGGCAGCGTTTTAGGCCCGACTTTATTCCTTATTTACATAAATGAGCTTTGTAATATAAATATAGATGGTGGTCACGTGTTCTCATATGCTGATGATACTGCACTGTTTTTTATGGCGACTTCTTGGGATACAGTATTTAAACTTGCACAATTTAACTGGCTACAATCCAACTTACTTACATTAAATATAACCAAAACAAACTATATATGCTTCTCCAATAGTAAAAAAACACACCCAAACTTAGATCTAAAACTAAAAATACATACATGCAATAACCAAAACATGTATAACTGCAATTGTCCTGAAATAGAGAAAGTCAACAGCACCAGGTACTTAGGAATAATACTTGACCAACGATTATCTTGGCATCCTCACATAGATTTTATTAATAACAGAATCAGAAAGTTAATATGGATTTTTAAATCTTTAAGATATGTTACCACTAAAAAGCTTATTAATCAAATATACGTTGCATTAGTTCACTCAGTCCTGGGATATTGTATCCACATATGGGGTGGAGCTACAAAAACAAAATTTCTTGAAGTTGAGAGAGCGCAACGTTGCTTACTAAAGGTTATGTATTCTAAGTCGTACAGTTTTCCCACAGCGGAACTCTATCAATACAGTGAATTATTATCAGTGAGAAAGTTATATATATTTGCAAACTGTTCTAAAACTCCACAGGTCTTTACCATTTAATTATAATAATCTAAATAAAAGAAGAAACAGGTTTATTTTAAAATTGCAGAAAACTAAAACAAAATCAGCTAAACGACACTACAAAATACAATCAGCTCACCTATATAATAAAATTAATAAAATCATTGAAATATACCCTTTAAAATTAAGAGATTGTAAAAATAAATTATTTGATTGGTTGCAGCCACTAAGTTATACTGACACAGAAGATCTTCTCTCAGTGTGAATTAGTGGGTGTAATAAGATATGTATTTTACAGCCGCTGGTCAATGCGACAGTTGTAATTATATCTCTGTTGTATTATCTCTTCCATATTACCTCTGTTCTTAAATATTATAAAACTTAATTTAAAATGTTTTCAGCTCTAGTTCCCTATCTTAAGAATTATGATTTATAACAATATTTTTTTTTTGTAAATTTAAATTCTGGATTTAAGGAAGCTCGAAACATCCAATGTATAGTATGTAAGCATCATAAAAGGGCGGAGCTGCCTGCCACAAGTATATATATATATGCTTACTAGGCAGCTCCAACAATGAATATTGTATGGATATAAGTTTTTTGATGAAATAAATATATTTTGATTTTTTGATTTTGATTTTGATTTTTTAAAGACTAG